ATATATATATATATATATTGGAAATGTCTGTGTTCATAGATATTTTACATGGAATCTAAAGTCAGATGTGTGGTTTAAAAATAAGTGCTGTTCTCCTCTCACACAACTGGGAAAACCGATAATAAATAAGCCTTCTCAGTAAGGTTAACAACCACTGTGCAAGGCTTCTACATCTGTGTTTTCCTTTAGACTCACACCTTATACACACATAAAAGCAGTCGTCCCTGGAAAGACGTTGTTCTATACAGCAGATGAAAACTCAGTCTTCCTTCTACTCTGTAAGCACCATATGGGACAGTTTGATTTGGGCCCCGGTGACATTCAAGACTGATGATGGAGCAAATTGAAAAAGAAGATCCACGACTCAACCGAAGGGAAACAGTCACACTAATTTCTGACTCAGTATTTGATGTTGCATATGATTTGCTATACATTTCATAAGTCTGTTTCTTAATCCATTTTTATGTAATCCATAATCGTCTTTCTTAAAATTATTTAATGTGAAAATATGTTTATATTGTATTGAGTTAAATTGTATTTTCTATTTTCTTATCTACATGGGGCCCTGAGGGGATTGACTTTGTTCTTCTAATTGTGTATAGTGCTTGTGTGCTGGGAACTGAAGAACAACACCAAATAATATACTTATGGCTTAGTTTACCATTGCTGCATATCAAGGCTGCATATGATAAAATAGCTGCTAAAATTAAAATTTCACATTGATAACGTACTTAACTTATCATGGCTTATATTAGTAAAAATGTTCTCTCCTAACTATGAAGAGCCTTTCTACACTTTAACAACAGTCTATTCTGATTTATTAACATGTTTTTCAGAATGAAGTTAAACATGACATAGTAAAACCATAGTCAGGGTACCTTTCTTTAACATTCTGTGCAATGTCATGGCTTTTAGGGTTTTATCCCCTAAATTTTTCCTTCTATTCTTATCTGGCCCAGAAAGTCTACCTTGTTAGAGCAAAGGTTGTTCTCAGTGGCTTCAAGGGTGGAAGCAGGTGTGTTCAACCTCAGGACCCTTCTTCCTTAGCCAAGGGTGCTGAGAAAATTACAAATGAGCCTGACTTGATCTTCAACCAGAGGAGACAGTGCTCATAAATCTTAACCATCAGAGCATCCCCTGCTAGAATTTTTGGCTAGGCGAGTTTAAGAGAAGGTTAAACAGAATTTTCCTATGTTTTCTCCTTCTATTATTTCTGATAGCATTATAAGAAAAAATGCAGAGAGAATTTAAGTTTTAAGAGTTTCATTCAGCAAGTCTACTTTGTGGGTATAAAGCAAAGCATTCATCACTGGAATTGGTTGAAAAATTAACGAAGAACTATTTAATGTATGAGCTGTAAGTTTAAGTTGTTTCTTTAGAAAATTTAATCGTGATGCTGAGCATTGAACCCTTGGTCCTATATTGTTAGGCAAGTGTTGTACCACTGAGTTCTACTCCCAGCCCTGGACATTTTTATTTTAATGTGGTGTTAAAGGAGAGATTTGGCTCTTCCCCTTTGAAGAGTACGGCAAAAGGTGTGAATCCTACATTTCAGTACAGTATTCTGGATTGACTTCAATGACCTAAACGTTTAAAGGTGAAACAGTAAAAGACGTCTTGCATTTTAGAAATGTGGGAAAATAATTTTCTTTAATTTTGAAAGCAAAATCTATTTCATTTGGATGCCATCCAAATTTCAACAATGAATGAATTAATAAAATTATATTTATATTGTATTCATTTTTCCCATTTCCACTTTGTCCAATATGTTTTGATAAGCTTACATTGTAAAACATTTGAAAGTGCTTGGGGGGTAAACTCAAGGCCTCATAATGAGCTACATTCCTTGCATTTCCTGAAATTTCTATTTTGGGATGAGGTTTTGCTATGTTGGTGAGCTCTCCAGGCCTGCCTCAGGTGCCAAGAGGCTGGGAGTGCATGCTTGCACCTCTCCACCCAGCTAGAACATCTTTAACTTTAACCACAGTTGCTACTGCTGATTTCTCAAATGTGTTTAACTTTGACAACTAAGTAAAAACCCAAGTCACCTTTGGTGCTAAGAGCAAATCTTTAGATAATGCTTTGTCTCTCACAAACACTGCATCATTTAAACCTCACGAACTCTATGTAGAGTGATCAAGGGCAAGGATTATTTTTCTAATCCAATGCATGTGGAATAAAAGCTCAGCAATATCTATTGGATCTCTCAAGATACAAGGCAAAACTGACAGGATCTGAGGGTTCCTACACCTTAAGCCAGCGATGTCTAACCAATGTCTAAACTATTAATGCTTTCTAAACTCCTTTATCTAGCTTGAGTATATTTTGCATATTATTATATACCTTAATCTAATATACTCAATAAAATATTGAGTATATTTTATTATATTATATTTGTATTAATGTAATATTAATGTATACTTAATCTAAATAGATTTTACAGTGGAGTTATTAAATCATCTCAAGTAAGGTCACCTAAAGTAAATTCACTTTCTTTAGACCATAAATCAATTCCTGACTAGATATATCTAATTCTCATTTACATTCTCATAACAAGTTTGAGAATTATCAATTATTCATTGTAATCTTTATTTACACTTTCAATTTCTCTTATCAGAGAAAATTTCAGTATTTACACGTGTGAGTCTTGTTTCACTTAAGAGTATGGTCTCAACATACATCTACTTAGCTATAAATATCTCTAGTTTCTCATTCTTTATAGCTGAGTAGTATTCCATATCATGAAAAAAACACATCTTTTTATCCCGTCACCAGTTGATGGGAAATTGGGCTGTTTTCAAGTTTTAGCTATTATAAACTGTGCTGCTATAAATATAGGTGAGCATATATCACTATGGTCTGATTCTTTTAATTCTTTGGGGAAGACACCCAGTAGAATAGCTGGGTCAAATGGGACTACTAGTTTTTTGAGGTATGTTCATATTGATTTCCAAGGTGGTTGCACCAGTCTGCACTCCCATCAACAATGGAGAAGGGTTCCTTTCTCCCCACAACCCCACCAACATTTGTTATTGATTGATTTCTTGATAGCAGCCATTCTTTCTGGGGTGAGGAATCTCAGTGTTTTTTCAACTGCATCTCTTGAATGACCAGTGATGTTGAACATTTTTTCATGTATTTATTTGCTGCTTTTATTTCTTTGTCTGATAAACGTCTGCTCATTTCAGATACCCATTTTTGAATTGGGCCTTTACATTTGGGGTTCTGACTTTTTAAAGTTCTTTATATATCCTAGATAGTAGTTTTTTTGTCTGAGGAACAGCTGGTAAAATTTTTTTCCTACAATGTAGGTTGTCTTTTAGCTCTGTTGGTGTTTTCTCTTGCAGTCCAGAGGCTTGCTTTCTTTCTTTCTTTCTTTCTTTCTTTCTTTCTTTCTTTCTTTCTTTCTTTTTTTTTTTTTTTTTTTTTTTTTTTGTATGGAAAATTGAACTTGGGACCTTGACTTTGTGAGATAGGCAGCAGAACCACTGAGCTAAATCCCCAGCCAGCAGAAGCTTTTAAATAAGATGAGATCCCAGTTGTTGATTCTTTGTGTTATTTCCCATGCTACTAATGTTTTGTTCATAAAGTCTTTTCATATGCTGATATCTTCAAGAGTTCTACCTAACTTACCTTCCAGCAAGTTTAGTGTCCCTGTTTTAATATTTGGCTCTTTAATCCACTTTGATTTTACTTTAGTGCATGGCAATAGACAAGGGTCTAGTTTCAATCTTTGGCAGGTAGAAATCCAGTTTTTCCAACACCATGTATTAAATAGGCCATCTTTCCTCCAGTGAGGATGTGAAATAGGAAGAACTGGTTTAAAGGGGTTGGGGAAGTGGTAAGGGTAAGGGAAAGGAAAGAAGGAAAGGAAAAAATATGAGATAAGAAATGAATGGAAATAAAGCCTTTGCAAATAGGAAGGAGTAGAGGGGTTGAAGTGAAGGCAGGGGAAAGGGAAAAAATAAGAACGAAGATACATCACATAAAGGTACAAGATCCCAGTGATGAATGTAATTGCACTGTATACCTAAAATGTACCAATCAGATAATTTAAGAGAAAAAATAAGCTTGAGAATTAGCCATTACTATGTTATTACTCTCAAGATTCAAAGGAGATAGTGTTTGTGAGACATAATTCCTGCTCCATCCGCTTCAATTTCAGGTATCAGCCTGGAACTTCCCCAAAGTTATCAGAAATGATTCTGAATAACAGCATGACTTCTGCCAAACTAATTTACTACTATGTATCATTTGGTCTCCTTTGAAATTACCCCACGATTTTGAGATACATTTTCCTCCCTTTTTAATTAATATACCTTGATACTAACTGGGTTATCCAGCTCTGCCTAGTGGAAATCATCAGTTTCTTTTATCTCTTCAAACAATCAGAATTCTCATTTTCACTTAAAATAAGTGGTCTATGAGTTACTTTCTATCTTTAATATAAGAATTGCTTGATATCATAGGGCTATTAAGAGACACAGTTCCTACCAAGGGGAAGAGAGTCATCTCATCACACAAAATTCATCCTCATCAGTGCCTCTCTATTACCAGCATTGGCTGGTAAGGCCCCTTCATTTCAAAGGAGAGTAAGCTCCCTGCAGAGGACGAAGATCACACAGCATCAAATTGGAACAGCAAAGACAGAATGCCAAATGACCAATATGTAGTCAGAATTTTAGCCTGCTTTATCTATCATCCGATTTTGTCTTTCATCAAAAATAGTACCTAACACGCTCCCAGCCCTGAAGTCACACTCAATTCCCATTCCCACATCAGCGTTTCTTACTTTAGAAATCCCTTCAGCGTGCTAGAGCTCACACAGCATCTTTCAAAATGACAGATGATCCTCCCCTTCAGAGACAGATTCCTCTGGCTGCCACTAAGTTTTGGACAGAGTGTTCTGTGATGAATTTCTATACCAACAGTTATTCTCCTGCTTATAGCCTAATAGCCAGGCAGCATTAGGGAGCTTTGACACAAAATTCCAAGCCTTCACTTCAGCACTCCGGACAGAGTTCTGCTTACATGGTAGACATCTTCCCTGCCCCGCCCCTTGATTTGTGACAGATCACTGACTTCAGAATTCTCAGAGTGGTAAACAAGGAGAAACCACTGTCCTAAGTGTGCTTGAACTTGAGGACATCTTGTTTTTAATGTTAGGGATTTTTATTAAGGTTTTGTTTTTCAAACTGACCATTATATTAAAGATGCTAACAACAGTGACCTAAAAACACCAATATTTCAAATAATTTGTTTACCAAAATATCCATATTGAAGGACAAAAGTAAGAAAGAAGCTTTCATTTTCATAAACTTCAACATTTTCAAATTCACCTGCAGACACACTTCTATGCCTTACTCCACCAGAGCAAACATCATAGGACAGCGAGAGAAGAGAAAGCAATGAGCTGGTGTTTACAAAAAATTTTTCCAGTTTTATCTATCCATTCTTTCATTTATTCAATCATTGGGATTTATTAGGCATCTACTGTGTATCATTCTGTGTTCCAATCATGAGCTCTATACAATGTTAACTAAGGTAAAATTAAGTTCAAGTAGCAGTCGTGAGAACGCTAAGGTCATGGGAACTGTGTGTGTGTGTGTGTGTGTGTGCGTGTGTGTGTGTGTGTAAAATAATCCTAGAAAAGAATGGCAACAGTTACCCCTGGGTGAAATAATGTAGGACATAATAGCCAGAGAAGGTAATTTTTTACACTTTTATAGATTCTAAGTTTGATTGGAAGCTAACTGAGGGATTTGAGCAGAATAACATGATCAGATTTTCTTTGCAGCTATCTGTATAGCCACACTATACAGAGTGTAAGAAAGTACAGAAAAAGACTAACTGGCTGAAAGTTCACAATAGCAGTGTTTGAGTAAGTTGATGATATTTAGAAATAGGAAGAGAGTGGTAAATATGATGAAATGTTGAATAAAATTTGAAGTTATACTTGAAAGGAGTGGATATAGAATTTGAGGAAAAATTGAGAAAAGCTACTTAAATTATTGTAAATAGAAGGGCTGGTATCACTTGCTGAGATTAAGAGAACTAGATTAAGAAGCAGCTAACAAGAATTCTGTATTACACTTCCAATTATGATAATTTTGGACACCTAGAAGCTATGACATTGGCCCTTGGATAAGCAGGTCAGAAAGAGGTTAGAGGTAAAATTACAATTTGAAGATTGGTCCATTCACTGTACAGTAATACTCAGAAATACTGACTTTTTAAAAATCATGTACATGGTGAGAATACAAAGACTGTGTTAGGAGTGAATGTGGTCAACACGTAGGGAAAAACTAATAAGGGAGGTGGTGTAGCTATGGAGATTGAAGCATGAAAAAAGAAGGGAAACCTACAGAGCGTTTTCTGTTCATATTCATTTAGGCTACAAGAATTATCTTGGGGAGTGCACGGTTTTGTTACTCATAGGAAAAAATTGCTAAAGTTCGTCTAGTGTAAGGTGCAATTTCTTCTCCACATTTCTATTTCTGAAAAGAATGTGTATCTTTTGTCGGGGATTACTGTGGATTGAACCCAGGGCCTTCACACTGAACTGCACATATTCCTAGTATTTTTTTGTTTTTGTCAGTTTTCTAAGCAGAGTCTCACTAAGTAGTGAAGTGGCCCAGGTGGGCTGAAACTTACAATCCTCCTGCCTCAGCCTCCCATATTGTAGTTATCTACCAATTACACTCGGCTTAATATACATTTTATAAGTTATGGCATCTTAGGATTGTTTCCCAATTTAACTGACACAGTTTTCTCTTTATTGTTGGTTCATTAAATAGTAGTGCATTTGCAATTAATTCCATTTTTAGATTCTACATGTTGAATGTGTTAGGCAGAGCATACACACTCTTATTAGTAGCATTTCTCACTCTGTTTACATCTCTGGCTCTGCGTTTCTCTTTCTTTTCCCTCTCTCCATAACATCGCCATCATGACTGTGAACACTCTTTCTTGAGGGTTATTGCAAATTTAGTAAGGGGAAATTTACTTTCTTAGTAGAAAATAATAGGTAACAAAACAATTAGTTGCAACTTGTGATATTTGAGAAGGATATTCTAAAACCTTATGGCATATTATCTTTATGTTTCTTATTGTATGCCAAATTTTATAACTTGAAGGTCAATATAGTATACTTAGATTATAAAGACATCAAGTGGCAACTTCCTATCTAGAAAGAAAATAAACACAAATTATTCTTACACATATTGCAACTAAGACAGCTTTATAAAAGCTTTATGATTTTTCCAGTTTGCTAGAAATAAACATGAATACTAAGTCAGAATACTAAAAGCTTGGTGTTCATGTCAATTTTATATTAAAATTTTACCTTCAGTATTTAATAATTCCTTTTATAATAAAAATGGACCCTCCAAATGAATTTAGACTGCAGTACTATCCAGACTTTATCATTTTACATGGATAATACACAGTTGTTTTGCACTGTAGTAAGATGATATTTCTAACTTAAATATTGAAAAATTATTGCCAAAACTGTTATATTTCCAATATCTGTTATATACATATGTACAGATATGAAAATATGAATTTATGTAACTAATTCTTGCTACCAGGGACTTTTAAAGCATGGGAAATGAATACAACAAATAGGATACTGTTTGGTTAGAGTTATTTCATAGTTTTCTTTTGGCTTGTTTTCATCAGTTTATCAAGTTACTTTTCTGCTTCAAAACTAGAGATGAACAATTATCGTGGTTTACGATTTTGTAAACAAGTATTCATGTCAGTGTCACTAAATTGTTCATATGCAGGAATGAGTCAAAGATCAATTAAGCACAAGACTCATAATGGATCAGGACACAACCCCCCACACACACACACCTAATCCATTTGAATTTAGAAAGAGACAGCTTGCTTTAATCTGTCTTCTGAAACCCTAGGTAAGCAGATTGGAGGATATCAGCTGCCACTCTTTTTGACTTCTACAATCAATCAACCTTCATTGGCCATGCAATTGGACTTTAGAGTTAGGAAAATAATGTTTCTCACCTCTCCTACTAAGACTTACGATAAGGGCCCAGGATTTAGCTCAGTGGCACCAAACCTGCCTTGCAAGTGAAAGGTCCTGAGTTCAATACCCAGAACAAAAACAAAACAAAAAAACAAACAAAAGAAACAAAAACATAATGAAAGAAAAATACATCTTGATTTCAAATTTTAAATAAACAGTGCAGTCCAGGGGCCGGGGATTTGGCTCAGCGGTTCAGTGGCCTGCCTTGCAAGCGCAAGGATCTGAGTTCAATCCCTGGTACCAAAAGAAAAATGGTGAAGTACATTTCTCATGTATTATTCAAGCCTCGCCCTGTAAGACCCATATATGCATTAAAAGTATTTCAATGGAGAGTTGGACACAGTCATTTTTTTCTTTAAAGTGGAATTACATTTATTAAATTTTTTTTTATTTTTATTTTTTGGCACTGGGGATTGAACTTGGGACCTTGGGATTGCAAAGCAGGTGGCAGCACCACTGAGCTAAAAACATCTGGCCCTGGAATTACATTTAAAAACTATAAATCAAGTATAACTCAAAAATATATAACTTTCAAAAATCCTCAATTTTTGCCCAATGACTTACTTCATTGAAATGGAATAATGATTTGTAGGGCATGATTGCCCAGTGGAGGCAAAAACTGTTTGAATTTCAAGGATTGAAATATAAATTTTTATAAAAACATCTGCAAGTTCAAATAATGACAGTTTAACTTCTTCCAATGAGGCACAAAATACAATGCTAGGCATGCAATGAAAGCAGAGCCATAAAACTCACTTGAAGTCATGCACAGTGTACAAAGTTGGAAATTGGTCACTTGACTTTAGGTGGAGTCTGTGTGTGTCTGTGTGTTTGTGTACCTGTGGAATTTTTTGTTTTATTTTGTGATGTCCTGTTGGTATTCCCAGTGTGTCCTCAGGAAATGTTATGCAGTTTAGCTCTGAATGTCACTATACCTCCTTTTTCAGTCTGCTCCCTCCTCCCACCCCTGCTTCTTGTGCCTTGTTAAAAAATGCTGGCTTAGCTCATGTAAACAGAACCTACCAACATATTTTATCTAAGTGAGTCAATTTTCTTTGGTTTTTATATCTGGTTTTCTGTCTCAACTCTTCATTTATACTTGTGAAAATTAGTTTTTAGCATATTCTCCAGCAGTGCAATGCATGGTCTTTTGGAATCAATGTTTGTATTGATAGCTTTGACCGGTTTCATATTCCTTTTTGAAGTACATGTTAACTTTCATATTTCATTTCTGCCCAAAGGGAAAGAAGAAGAAAAGGTTTCTGCAAATGTATTTTTATATGGCCAATTTCATAGAAAGGAAACTTCTAGATAAAATGCTATGCTAATTGAGTAGGCAAGTTGTAGTAAGCACTAAGAAAGATAAAAGGAACACAGTATGGTATAATACTGTATAGAGTCAAATGCATAGGGATCTCACATTAGAGTAAAACATATAGCAAACTAAAATTCCAAGTGAAAATGACAAGTCATACCAAAAAACAAAGTAAGTACAATCAAATCCGCTAAGCAAAAATCAACAAGGGCAGTCACAGAGGTTGAGCAAATTAGGAAAGAAAATAGCAGGGTCACTAGCTGAGAGAAAGTCGACTGGAATCTTGCCTGACAGTTACATTTTAGGGATTCCAGGTGTACTGACATTTAATTACAGCCTTGGGTGTGTGTGTGGATATATACGTGTGTATGTGTACAACTCAAGTAGAGAAAACAGAGGGCTACAAGTGCTTCCCCATCATTACCTAAAAGTTGGCTCCCAAATGCCCATCTTTCAGATTATTGGTAAGTGATTTTAACAATCTGTTTATTAAATATGTGAAACTTTAGCAGAATAAACTATGGACATGGGGTGTAGGTCTCTACAGTGGAAAATTTGATATGGTTGCTAAATTTTATTGCATAACTACTACATGCCAATGGAAATGTCCTGCTAAGGTTGATAAGTGTACAAA